AGCCCAGGCTGGCCTCGAACTCACAGCGATCCGCCTGGCTCTGCCTCCCGAGTGCTGGGATTAAAGGCGTGCGCCACCACCGCCCGGCTTAATTCACTTCTTTAAAGACCACATATGCTGTCATGTTTTCCACTTAGTTCAGCTTCGAACAGTTGTTTTTTTTTTTAAATAGAATTTGTTCATTTTTCCCCTAAGTTTTCAAACAACATTAAATGTTCCACCTCAGCTTTTAGAGGCTGAGGCAGAAAGGTTGCAATTGTTTGAGACCAGCGTGGAGTACATTGTAAGATCCTGTTTCAGTGAATAAATAAATACAGTGTGTGACTCTGTACTCTGTTGCTCTGTGGTAGAGCGCTTGCCTAGCATGTGAGAGGCCCTAGGTTTGGTTTCTAGTACCTCAGTCAATCAACGATCATTTTAATTGGTTCTATCTGTAATGATAGTTTTTTGTTTTTGCTTTTGTTTTTTATTTTACTTATTTGTAACCACGGTACTGTACTTACTGCATGCTGGTCAATCAAGTACTTTCCAAGAACTAATCAAATACATGTCATGATTGTCACCTCATCCAACGTAGAAGGAAACCAAGGCACAGAGAAATGCAATTGTTTTCCTAACATCTTACAATCAGTAGGTCACAGAGCCTCAGTTCAGGTCAGGCATCTTTGACTGTAGAAATCACTTTTTTTTTTTTTGAGATAGGGTTTCTTTGTGTAACAGCCCTGAATGTCCTAGAACTCAATCTGTAGACCAGGTTGGTCTTGAATTTACAGAGATCTGCCTGCCTCTGCCTTCTGAGTGCTGGAATTAAAGGTGTGTGCCACCACCGCCACCCAGCTAGAATTCACACATTTTACTCCCATATTATGTGGCTTCTTTGTTATTAAAATTGCTTTTCATGTTTAGTTTGACTTTCTTATGATTTTTTTGATTTCCTTGATCAGTCTTGCAAAAGGTTTGACAGTCATTAGTTTTTTAGTTTTTTTTTAAAGATTTATTATGTATATTGTGAATGCCTTATGTATGTATGTATGTATGTATGTATGTATGTATGCATGTATGTATGTATGTATGTATGCATGTATGTATGTATGCATGTATGTACACCACGTGTGTGCCTGGTGCTCTTGGAGGTCAGAAGAGGCTGCTTCCTCCTCAGAGGAGCTGGAGTGACAGCTGAGCCACCATGTGGGTGCTGGGAACTGAGCCTGCGTCTCTGCAAGAGCAGCCAGTGCCCTTAACTGCTGAGCCATCTCTCAGTCACCAATCATCAGTTTTTGCAAAGAATCAACCCTGTCCTCCCCAAGTTGCTCTTGGTCATGGAGTTTACCAGAGCAATAGAAAGAGTGTAGGACACTGTGATGCCATCTTTGCCATCTTTTTGGGAACCAAACTCAGGGGCTCATGCTTGCTAGACAAGTGTTTACCACTGAGCTAAGTCCTCAGCCCCACTAAGGAAAGGGCTTTAAAACATTCCCTCTGCCCTCCTAGAGTCTAGAGCAGGTAGCAAGCCTCTTTGCATTTTCTCTGGACTTTGTGAACTAAACTTTGTCTTTGTAAATTAACTGTAATCTTTGGACAATGAATTAACTCATTTCTCTGGACTGCATAAGGTATCTCTAGACTTCTTTTCATGAATTTGCATGACCTGCAGTTAGAATGATATTCTGTGCACTTAAATAAAAAAAATAGAGTTTATTCTTATTTTTCCCATTTGGCATTTCCCACAGCAAACTGACATCTTACCATGACTGCTGTGCAGCCCTGGCAAGCTATTCCAGATGCTATGTCTTGTTTCTGAGTCTACTGAACAAATACCAGAAGAAACAGGTCAGTCACACATTTCATTCTTTCTCAGTGTCTGTGCACTGGTGTACTTGTGGAAGCCCATGTTGAGTGAGTTTATGTTTTTTAACATAGTAGCCCCTGCTAGAAGCTTCCATTAGTGGTATAATGGCCCCAGGAGGCAGTGAATACCTGCAAGGATTGAACAGAGAATAATCTAAGGCAGAAACTGCCTCCGTGAGATATGGTTGTTATGGGCGGTATTTGATTTAAGGTGTGGACCACAGGAGTTCCATTGGTCTTGGGGATTTACAGATTGCCTACATGGGTTGTCCTAGGGTGGGCATGAAGTACACTGGTTATTTCAGTAGAAGACCCACTGAACTTCACCCCAGGCTTATGGAGTTAGATGGGCAGAGTGAGGCTTGTCCATCAGCATTTTTATAAGAACCATGGGGACTTAAAATGCAGGAAAAAGCTTAGAATCCTCCACAGGAGAGGTACCTTGAAGATTCTTTTAGCCTTTAAATTTCCTGATTCTTTGATCCTGTTGTATTTTACAATATGGAATTTGGAGGTAAAGTATTTGAAGATTTATTTCTTTATGTGTATATGTGTGTGCCTGGGTGTGTGTCTGTGTACTATATGCATGCAGGGACCTTAGGAAACCAGAAGAGGATATTGGATCCCCTGGAACTGGAGTTACAGATAGTTGTGAGATGCCTGATGTGGGTCCTGGGAACTGAACCTGGGTCAGAGCACAAGTGCTCTTAACTGCTGAGCCAGCTCACCTGCTTTCAGGACAAAATATTTATGAAAGAACATAGCTTTAATGGATCAGGAAAATGTATAATACATTTTTTACATTCTAAAATTGTACTTATGCCTTTATTTATTCATTATACATACATACACAATGTGTGGAGGTGAGAAGACAACTTGTGCTGGTTGTTTTTTTTTTTCTACCACATGGGACCTAGGAATTGAGATCAGATCATGTTTGGCAGCAAGTTCCTTAACCCAATGAATCTTCAAGTTCCTTAACCCAATGA